GCTGTGGAGGCGCTGCACCAAAACGACTGAAAGACCGAAGCAACACAAAAACGCTGAAGCTCTGAAGAGGAAGACACGAGCGCAACTTTCTTCTTGTAAAATCTAAACAAAATTGGATATTTCAGAGTTTCTAGGATTTCTCTTTTGTCTTTGGTTAAAGACCTTATGTCATTTCTCCTGCTGGCACTTGACATGTATGTTTGTTTTGGTTCTATTGACCCAGAAATCCCTCCGCCATCGTCCGCTTCCAACTTGTGAACTGGTCTCCAGTCTGCTGGGCATTCAAACTGCTTCAGACTAATCAAACACATGAGGTAGGAGATCTGCTGTGCAGCTCTGGCTCTATTCTGCACTAAATTCACTTGTTCTCTGATGTCTTTTACTAACTAAGCACCAGCTGAGAGAGTAAATGTGTTTATGCTTAAATCTGGCATAGCACATGTCCCCCCAGATCCCTAAGCTACTCTTGTCCTTGATGTAAATAAATGAGTTTTAGTTTTATGAAATTAATTAATCAAAATTATTAATGTTTGTTAATGTTATAAAACTAGATTTTTTTAGTAAGCAAAAGACATTACAATGATTTAAAAAACAGTTTCTACATCTACAAGCGTTTTTGTTGTGATGTGCAAAGCAGAACATGGAGAAAGAAGAAGGTTTAAGTGCAAATGAAAAAGAGCACTACAAGAATCCACAAGTGATCAGCAATTCAAACAAAAATGTTCTGAAGGTCCATACTCCTGTCGGTTTTGTCTAATTTCTGCCTTGCCAGAGGATCAATGTAGTTCATTAACAGTGTGGTTCATAGAAAGGCATCGGTGTAAGTAAGTTCATGTTGCTTACCTAAAAAGATTCTCCGCTCCTGCTCTCATGCGCATCTCCTTGTTGATCTGCTGGTTGATGCGCGCTCGTCGGTGCTGCAGTTTACTGCGCTGAGTCTGAGCGAAGGGATCACAGCCCTACAGGGGAAACATCAAACCACAGGAGGAGAAAACTTTTTTCTGATTCTTACATCCAGCATACGAGAATTTAGTTTAGGATTATTCCAGAATCTGCAAGTATTTTGTATTTTTTTTGCTTCAGTCAACTGCAGAGGGGTTTAGGAGCAAGTTTAAGATTAATAATAATAAAAAGAGAAGAAAATTAGTTCATATCAGGCAGGAGCTGGAGTTTAAATATGCTGAATACTCCCTCTGCTTCTCCACATAACTTTTTCTAATCACCTTCTCCCTCCTGCAAGCAGGAAACATGTAACCTTCTTTCATTTTAATGTACTCACTTCCCTGTTTCATTCCTGCTCACTCAATTAAAGTGTTTATTTAACATGCGAACGTCAAGTAATCCTCAAAGTGCCTGTGTGGATTAAGATTCTGGCTGAGCTCCCACCTCTGCTCAACCATCAGGGAGCCAGCAGGATAGAGGCTGCTCAACAACAGAGCACAAAACATCTAAAGAAGGAGACACTGGTGAAACGTCACTGCACACATCCCAAAATGCTCAGGTTGGTTTAAAAGTTAAGGGAAATGACAAGATATATTTTATTTTTTTTAAATTCCTCCATTTAAAAGCTACTGGGGGGATTATAAAATAAAGTTTGATATTTTACCCAAGTTACTGATTTTCCCTCATTTTTAATGAATATGAATGTTTTTTGTGTAGTATGCAGAACAAGAGCTGGACAGCAGAATGGGTTGGGACACTAGCCAGCGTCTCTACCTTTCACCTGAAGTTCCCCTGGGATAGTCTGGCTACCAACCATCTAAAAATAGGTGTTTGGAGTTTAAGCAAGAATCTGCAAAATTTGCTTTAATTTGAAAGAGGAGCTTGGATCATTGAACAGCAGTTGAGCTTGTTTTCTCCTTACCTCTTATTCTTTATAAATTAACACACTGAACATGGCAACTTGTCTTGCCTTTTTCCTACCACTCAATTTTCCTTCAATAAGAGGAAGTACAATAACCAATGTGCCTTATCTTCTATGTGGAGGAGTGAGTGACTATGCTGAACAAGTGTCAAGTCAGCAATCTCCTATGACTGTAAAGACCATAACATAAAACTTTTTTTAAATGATTTTTATGATTATTGGCTGCAACACTGCAATAATCTGAGATGGAGAATTGTGCGTTTTTGTCATACCAGGGTGTTTCTGTTGTCTCACCTTGCGGATGCTCCCGCTGTGGCTGCTGTCTGTGGGCAGCGTCACGGGCATGTCGTCGTCCGAGGCGCCGTCTGACAGAGATAACTCAAAGTCTCTGTGGAGAGTAACGACATTGGATTCATTAAAGTCATTATTCACATTCACACACTGCACAGTAGCGTGCGCTTCGCATTTATTTTGAACTTAAGACAAAACAAAAACAAACACAAGAAGTTTTATTCACTTGAGCCACAACTTTTAACAGCTAACGGTAAAAACCACTTGCCTTGTGGCAGGTCCCTCCATCGTAACCCACAACACCCGGCGGCTTAAACGGCCCCTACATCCCTCACAGCCTCATTGCCAGCTTTGTACAAACAGCAACGCGCCAAAAGTAGCAAAGTATAAACCAAAGCCAGGGGAACCTTTATCTCATAAGAACAAGCCACGCTGAACACTTCTTTCTCTTGATGAAGCCTTGTCGTTGTTTTCAGACGGAGTTCTGAAAGAGATTACTCACCGAGGGCGGGTAAAGGAGGAGAAACGCAGCCAATCAGGAAACGTCTTTTCAATGTGACGGAAGACAGAGCAAATCAAGGAGAAGAAAGAGGCAGCTCGGCTACTTCAACTGACCAATCACAAGTTACGTAGGGCCTCCCCCTTTCTACTCCTCCTACTGCTCAAATCGTTGTTATGGTTACGACAGGGGCAGTGGCTTGTGTACCAACTCCTGAACGGCAGCAGCAGCAGCAGCAGCAGCAGCAGCATACAAACAGCTCAAAAAACAGAAAATAGAGCAAATAGAAGCCGTTTGCTCCCGATAAAAGGGGTTCTTTTCAAAATAGAATTCTAATCTTTTATTTTCTTAATTAATTGTAAATATATTTGAAGATTGACCGGGTCGTCTCTGTAGTTTTTTGTTTTTTTTTCATCCAGTTGCAGTCATATGGAGCAAAAATCACATCCGCCTGTTGTGACGAATATTAAATACGTTGAAACTAGAATTAAACCTTATAATAAGAACTACAATGCATGAGATAATTGATTAATTCTTTTCTGGAAAACATGCCCTTTTTTTATTTGGCCACCAGGTGGCAGCCGTGTCCTGCTAAAAATCCTAAATCTTTGAGGCGCCACTCGTATGAAAGATTATGATACATTATGAAAGTTAAAGTATAAACTGAATTCATCTGAGCAATTTATTTAACCCGTTTCACAGGATTTTCTAAAAAGTAACCCAATCCCTCTTGCTGCATTTTTTTAAACATTAAAAAAAGACCATAATTTTAAAAAAAATGTCATTTTTAAACTTGCTTTTTGGGTCAGAGAATAAAAACTCATTAAATCTAAGAAAGTTTCAAGTGATTTGATTCCAAGATAATTTCCATCTCCTATCTGCCAGAATAATGAGATAATGTTAGAAGATATTTTTTGTGCCTTCTTCATAGTCAAATATTTTATACATTATGATTTCTATGCTTCTAAGTCATTTGGTGAAATTGTCATATAGCTTTTTACATTTTTGATGGGATAATTTGTGATATTTTTGTCCATTGAGGACACATTTATAGATGCATTTTAAGAAAACTGCTAAAACACCCCAATTTGTTGTGTGAAATATGTCTGAAACAGCCACTCATTGAGGAAGAAGCCAAAAGAAATACAAAAGCATTTGCAAAGACCAGTCTTTGCAAATGCATTCAGAGACAAACACCTTAATTTTTGGAGACAAGGCCGATGATTTTATGAAACTGAAACAAAAGCATTTTGCCATTAAACATTTGAAGCTTGTGATAATAATTTAGGTTTGGCTTTTCTCTACAAAGATCCAGTTGTATTTAGAACCAACAGAGACGGTGTATGGTCATTATTCTTTTGTTTCTTATGCTGTGGATCTTTCTCCACCATATTGGGTTTATTGTGTTCTGACTATTTGGTGTCTTCTGTGGTCTACATAGATGTTTACTATATAAACATTTCTGCTTGGGCTTGTTCAAAAAATTAGACACAGTTGACAAAGAAAAACCATTTGTCACATTACTTTCTCTCTTGAAGCATTTTTAAAATCTTCTATATCATTTGTCGGGTTCATCTCTGAAGGTAATAAATGCAGCTGCAACAGCTAAATGAAGCCTGCAAGAATTGATTTTGACCTGCAGACTATTAGCACCACTGTGTGATTAAAATGCAGATTGCAGGATGACTACATTTTTGTTTTCCTAATTTAAAAAAAAAAAGGATGTGGCAACAGTGGCAATTTTGTAAAGTTTCTTTGGGTATTTTAGAAATCCAGAATGTTTTGCTCTTAAATTAGGATTTTGGCGCTTTAAAAAAAAAAAAAACTAAACTGCAGAATCTCAGAGTTGTCAGCGGTTAAATATAAGAGTAGTTGATGCATTGCAACTGCACAGTGTAATAAAGGTGCATTGATCTATAGTAAATAGCAGTTCGGAAAGTTATTTCAGCCTCCCACAACTGTTATAGGAATGCTTTCATTTCTTGTAAATGAAGCCGTTCTTTTCTTGTTTAACACACAATTACACAACGTTTGCTTTTCCCCAAAATACTTTCAATATTTGTCTGCTGACCATTAGAGGCATTCACAAACTTCAGTGCCAATTTAGCTATATATTGAAAGCATAGCATAGAATTATATAATGTTAAATGCAACTTCATCTTTTTTTATTATAAACAAGCTAAACTAACTAAAATTAGATACGTCCAGACGTTTTTAAAATACCTACTCCTCAAAAGGCCAGTATATTTAGTTTTAAGTAACAGACATTACCTTTTTTTGTTCCAAACTCAACAGCTTTTAGTGGAAATCAACATTCTGAACATTTCACAAGCATGCACATATCCAAAATAATCTTTTAAATTTGCATTTACAGGTTACAAAATAGAAACAATAACCAAAACACTTTTACAAGAGGACTGAAACATCATGCATGTCTACAGCAACACGCTGTGATGTTAAGAAATAAAACTTTTCTGTATGTCTCGAATCAATATTTTTTGAAAATCAAGACTATATGCAGAGAAAAATTCTGTCCTTCACATTCAATTTAATCAAGGGTTTTCTTTCAGCTTTATAAAACAAATGGTCACATAAAAGAGAATCACAGGGCAACAAATAATTATCTACAGGTCTCACTACAACTTACAGGACAACAGTGATATAATGCTATTCTCACGATAAGCTTAAAGTGGAACATAAAACTGTTTTTTCTAGAGCCTGTCATATAGATTTTATTGAAAAGTAACCTCTGGTTCTTAAAGGGACATAATTTTCTGACTGAGCAGCAAATCTTGGACACATTTTCTCTTTTAGACAAAATACATAATCCATCTCCAATGCTCTTGGAACACAACCTGACTGTTGTGCTGCAGCGTAATGTGAGTTTATCTGAGACTAAAACAAGGAGTCTAAAGTAAAATTTAAGCTGTGTAGATGTAAAACAATAATAAAAAAACAAACAAAAGTCAGGTAAAAACTTTCATCTTCAATTCTAACCTTGCTTTTACTCTAAAGATACATTTTGTACCTCTGAAATATAAAGTTAACAAGCTGCCAAATCTGACATCAAGTACTAGTGCTGCATTTGCTGATGACTAATGCCACACTAGTGTCTCCTGTATGAACCTATCCACCCTGTAATGTTTCATATGTTCAGATGTGAGAAACTGAACGACCATCGCTTTACAGTCCAAGCTACTTCTGTGAAGCATTGCAACAGCATTGTAGTACACTTAGTAACAGTTTGCGTAGATGATGCAAATACAAGCTGTTGAGTGTAATGATTTTGAGATTACAAGTAAATGAGGAAGCAAGGGAAAGTCCCAGTAAGAGCTGGAACTCTCAAATTTACTCCAAGGTTGTTTTTTTTTAAAGTATTGAAACATAAAACCGAGGTACAATAGATCACATTTATGTTTCCATTGTTCCATGTTCCCCAGCTCAAAATTCTGATCAAGCAGACACAACAAGAGAATTAAATTCACCTAGTTTTATCTTAAAAGTGTATAAATATTCAAAATCCAAACATGCCTAGTGAAAAAAGTCAAACTTTTAGCACGTCCCATCATTTTGCAGCCTTAGACTTGGTCGGCTTTTGCATCATCATATTTTTGAAGGGAAGACACCATTTCTGGAAGTTTAATCCTAGTCATATATACATAGTGAAAAATCAGGTTTCCTGCATGTTTTTCAGATCAAAATGTTTAATATCAATTAATCTTTTTTGGCTCATATTAAAACACAGAACATTGAGATACACTGTATACTTATACAAGATATTTCTACAGAGGTCAAGTTACACGTCCAATATATAATCTACAAAAAGACTAACTGAGATGTGTGATGTGTAAGAAATATAGACTCAATGGAATCTGGTTTATTTTAGACACGGAATATTGTATTAGATTACAATATTCATATTCTGTGCAATTATGTATGCAAATTTTTATTTTACTTTATATTTGCCATAAATGTAGTGACCTTCTGGTGACCCAAGCCAAAGCAATTAACACCACAAGGTGTTGAGCAGCTTTTAGCCTATCAACATACTGGTATCATGTGATCAAATGAGCCTAACAAGTAAATTCTTAGGGTTAATTGTAATAATAATCATATTCATAACAGAACAGAAAAAAATTCTGTTATAAATTAAAATTTCAAAACAAACGTTGGTTGATGACACTATATTTCTTTCATAAAGAAGGAAAGACAGATAGACACGCAGGAATGACGGGACAGATAAACGTATGGCCGTATTTTGAAAGTTTTGAGATAGCTTGTAAATGCAGAAACATTTTCTCTCTGATTTATTTTTTGATACTTTTCCAGACTGTTGGAACCCTGAAAATGCAAGAGAAGGTGCTTAATCCAAAATCTCCCTCAACAAAATCTAAGAATGAAAAGATAGTAATCAATTACAGGTCTCCTTTCAGTTCTGTGCAATTTTAAATTTAAAGCATGTTCCTCAACACGTATTTTTACATGTCTCAGATTTAGTTTATAAAACGGGGGAACATAGAAGCACAGGAACACAAAAGCAATATCCTTCGTTCAGTTCCAACATTAGAGTGTAAGCTGCACCGGAATAAGCCCTTTCTGATTTTGCATCTTCTAAAAGTTTTAACAGCTTCAAACAAAAACAGAAAAAACAAACAGGACAAGCCAAAGTGTAGTTCCCAAAAGAAAATAGAAAATCCATCTTTTTCTTTTACATTAAAATATTTCTTCTATGAAACAGTCAGCATTCACATCGGGCTGAACAATCCCAGCTCAAACGTGAGTATTGTGAGTCACAGTTAAAGTGCGAAGCAACTAGTGGACTAAAACATTGCACAGTAACAGAAACAGTTCACTTTATCCAGCCCAGAACCAAACATGGTAGGCAACATCAGAAAACAAAAACATGTCTTAAAACACGCTCCACTTTAGCATAGCAAGATTAAGATCCAGTACATCATGGGATAAGAACCTGCCAAATGTGTCAATCATGTCATGCAGCTGACTGCATAATGTAGATGCTTCACAAGTCCACAAATGCAAACAATCAGAGCGCGTGCCAATCTGGAACATTTACAGGGCGGCATCTCCTATTTGTTTGAAAAAGGGTCTTTCACAATCAACTGCAGAGAGATGCTACAGTGTGACGAGAACGCGGTACAAGCAACAGTCAATTTCTTCATGGGGGGGAGGGGAGCCTTGACCTGCTGGGACAGAACCAAACACTCCAAACATCAGCTCATTGGGCTAAAACCACAACACTGCCACAGAAGTTACATTCTTGTATCATTCGTGAAGTAGCATCGTACAGAAATGGAGGTAACAGAGTCACTTAACAGGAGTTTACTGGTGCACAGGAAGAAACTCATAACATGCATCCCTTTAGACGGTTTGTGTTAGCATAATGTTACACAAATCAAACCTGCAGAGCTATAGAAGGCCTTCGTTTAGAGGTCTGGACTGTCCGTTTAGTCATGCATTTTGTTGCAGCTTTATGTACAAAGTCCATTTGAATGACTGCGGCAGGATGAGGGACTGGGGTGAAGCTCCAATCACTGGCATCACAACAGCAAAGTCTTATGTATGCAAACCTTTGGAAACAGAACATCTGTACAAAATGTCTACGCTTAAAGAAAAAATCCAACATTGGTTATGGAGTTGTTTTTAGGTAACTAACTGTTCTTGAAGATCATGTTTAATCTTAAATAACAGCTGGCAGCTAAACTTGGACATCAGCTTACTGAGCAGAAAGAAGTGCTCTGTCCACTGAGGATGTACAATTAATTAAATTAGTAATCCAATCTTGGCTCCAAACAATCACACAAAAGATTATTTATTTTACTTTCATATAGCTTAGTGTTCCTAATTTCCGAAAAAATACATCGTGAAACTGGAACATCATGGTAGTACAAGGTTTTTAAACCTCTGCAACAATGTTAGCAATTAAAGAACATGATAGAGACAGTATTGGTCACTGCAGCCACCTGTCTGTTAGTGAATAGTCAGGTTTAGCTGTTGTTCACTAAAATTTAAAGACATTTCTGATTGGAATATACATTTCCCCATCATATATATCAATCATTTGATTATACATCACCTATACATGTCTTATGTGAAAAAAAGATTGGCTACTATGCAAATGACAAAATTTAGAAAAATATATAAAACTTTTGAGCTAAAGCTTGTGCAAAAAATGTGATCAAACTCAAATAATTATAATCATAATGTTTTTCATAACTGAACAACCCTACTGTCCACAAGATATAAGCATTTCGAAAAAGAAGAAGACAACATCATGCATCACTTTAAAGCTGGATTTATGCTTCAGCGTAGAAACTTTTTTCTTATGTCAACATTTCAAAACACAATTTTGGTCTTTGATTGTCATACCGCCACCAAAACATTCCCGTTCTGCACTCAAGCATCAAAAGTCGTTTTTACCATATTTTACAACCTACAACCAATAGATTTTGGCTTGAATTGGGCCAAATTAAGTTTTCAGTGAAAGCCTCGGCAATTAGCTTTTTTTGTTATTTTATTTTTTTTACAAAAAGCAGCCCATAATGACCATGTCTGTCAAAGCTTTCAGAGGAGTTTCATAGACGTTTAAGTAAAAATCCCTCCAATATTCTGCTTCAGAAGAATAAATCCAGCTGAGCATATGGAGGAAGTTGGATTTTTCCTTTAAGTTCCATAGATTTTTTGTCATCTCATTTGCATAGGAGTCAGGGTGTGCTGAAGGCAAACAAAACTGCTGATGGAGCTGTCTACGAGACACAATGAATGCTTTAAACCACACAACAGATGGGTGTAATTCCCATCTTGGGCGTGTTTAGACAGTCTGTAAAAATTTCAATACATTTACACCTGAACATTAAAGTTAGCCAAAAATGATCCCAAAAATCCACAGAAGCCTTTCAGGGAAACTCTGACAAAAAGGCTGAGGCAGACCAGTTGGCACTGAATGCAAAGGTAGTGTTGTCAACAACAGCCGTGCAACTGGAAACATTTTGGCAACAAAGGTCAGAACTCATTGCAGATGACAATGTGAACGGTTTGGCTTGAAAGTCTTGAAGTTTTGTTTTTGAAGCTATTTCTGCTGCTTCCGAGACTGAACAAACAAGGCAGATTTGAGTTTTTGAAACATTGCACATTTTACATAATTACACTTAAGAGTTCATCTTAAAGAGATCTTTAGCTAGCTTTTATGCACCTAATCTAACCAAATAGAGGATATAAACATTCAAGAGAAGTCTCTTAAAAATCTTAGCGTGCATCTTAAAACACTTCACTTGACTTCGGATTCCTCTCTCTGTATTTAACTTTAGTTGCGTTTTTGTTAGAGACCCCCTGGAAAGGAGCATAAAGCCTCCCCATAATTGCACTCTTTACATAATTTCTTGGACCTTTGTTTTTTCCCGTTTTCTTTTTGTCCCACGTAAAAACAATTTGGCTATCAAGTGTACAGCTACAAAATACAGTACATCGATTTGTTTACACTCTACATAATCACAAAGATTACTGACTGACCAAAGTTTGTCTCAAATACAAGAAGAGGTCAAATATTCAGTTAGGAAAATACGTCGTCACATAAAACACTGAAGAAGAAAAGCACAATATTACTGTAAGGCAAAATCAGGTGATTTCACAGTGACTGAAAAATATTCAGATTTAAATGTTCTCTGGTTTAAAAACAAATGTATTACTTTTCAAGTGAACTTCTCAGCTTAAATATAAACTACATTGCCATCAGTATTTCCTGGTTTGGCTCTTAATACTTATATGACCTTGAGTGACATCCCATAGTTAATTCACATGGTTAATTTTATCAGCCTGCCTTTTGCAGCTCTTCTGGCTGCGATTCTTAGGGGAAGGATTTCCACAAGGTCTAGGAGTGTGTTCATGTGAATCTATCAAAAGTCTATATGGTTTGTTACATTTGGAGACAGAACTCCGAAATTCTGACTTCCCCGTCTGAAAAATCGATGTCAATGGCCCCTGAAGACACACTTCCCAGTCAAGGCTATTTGTAAAGTTGACTTTCAGTTTCAACATGGCTGTTATCAACAGTCGTAAGCTGAAGTGGAAACATTTTTATTTTACAAGACAAACTTGAAAGTGTGTGGATAAACTCAATGTTACACGTAGTGCCCTCAACTAGAAGCTAAAATTAAGAGTGGTGTTTGCTTATGGAAAGTAAATCTTCAAATAAAGATCGCAAGAGGTACTGCAAGCAAGGTCTACTTGGGCATCGCCACGTCTCAAACAGGACTTCTCACACTATGTTAACTGGAACACTTGAGTGTGAGGTAAAGCAAAGCTTCAAGTTCAGACTTTCAAGGTAAAAGGAACATGGCATATGCCCATGAACGCCACTCTACTTCATCCTAAAGGGAGGTCAGGACCCTGTGCAGGCCAGTCCTGATCTTCCACACCAAACTTTCTAATCCAGTTTTTGGGGACGCAAAAGTATTGCGTCCCCTCACAATACTTTTGCTTCCCCTTGCGTTTTGCGAGGTAACGCAGAAGTATTGTGTTACGCAAACGTTTTGCGAGGGGACGCAAAAGAAAAAAAAAATTCCCATGTCCCCTAGGGGGCGCCGTAGAGAGGAATATTTAGTGGTCAATAAATGTCACAACTGGACATATTGTTCTGGTGATTTTCTATAAACTCACAACTGTCACCTCACTCCTCATTGTATTGTATACACACATTGGAACAGGTGAAATAAATTGTTTGGATGGCTAAGTCAATACTTTTGGCAATATAGTGCATATAATGGCTATTTTTCTTGCTGAGAATGAATTCTGTTGCACTTTTGGTTAAATTGAATTTCCTGATGAGTGGTAATCCCAGTAAAGTCCACCTGACGTGGTGCTTAGAACTGATTTCTAGATTTGCTTGTTGAACTGCAGCACAATATAACATAATGGCACAACTAACACCAAAAGAGCAACTATGGGGAGGTTTTGCACTCCTTCGTTTCCCAAGTAAAAGCTTAAAGTAATAATTAAAAAAAACATTTATGTGTTTGTAATTTATGTGTAACATTACACTCCGCCTACAGACAGTTTGGCATCAAATGTAAGTTATAAAATATCAACCCTTTGACCAAATAAATAAATAAATAAAACATAAATACACAAAGCATAAAAACATTTACAAGATGAAAATAACATTTGGTTGTCAAAAATAAAGCTTTGAGTGTCAAAAAGAAAGTCATCATGCTATGGTAGGAGAACTTGTTTGAGGGGTAGTGAGTAAACCGGCTTCCTCCTCTTTTATACATAGCCAAAACAATTATTTTACCCAATAAATTAGCAGCTTCCTGCTACAAGCAAAAACGATTCAAATTAATGTGGATATGAAAAGAAAATGGCTATAATGTGCATTTTTTTAAATATATGTGGCATGTAATGGAGCACTGTAAACAAGAGTAGGCTAGCGAAAGCGCCGAGCAACCAATCTTTATCAAAACAACAGCGAGGCCATTCCCGTTGCAAGCCAATGGACGACTTTTTCCCCGTTGTGTTTTTTGGTGGCGCATCTTTCAAAGAGTCATACAGCTGGACGGCCATGCAACGAGGGAGAGGGTTCATCCTGCCCTTTGTTTCTCTTCACTCACGTTAGTGTTTTTGTTTTATTCCTCTTTGCTCCAACACAGCCTTGCTACAGTCTGTCCATCCTGAACGTGTCCTCTGTGGCGGGGTCAGCGAGCACCATGTCAGGGTCATTGAGCATGTGGAGTCCATCCAGTGTGAGTGGATCTATCTTCAGCTCATCCAGGGGGAACTGGGAGTCGGCATCGAAGCTGACATCACCAACACCCGCCAGAGAGTTGGTCAGCTCTTTAGAGAGGCTGGGCGGAGACTCACCTGTGACTAAGAAAGGTGACAGCAGAGAAACGCAGACAGCTTCAACACAGAGCAGTCATTTAGCTACCAATGGGACGGATACATTTTACAAAACAGATGGTATCATGATCAAATGGAATCATGAATTATTGGAATATTAAAGCATCTTAACACAAATGGGTCTTCCAATTTCTATGACCAGACTCTGCACACACCGTCTGCGGACGGTTCAGATTTATTAGTCAGCCGTACCGATTGCCTATGTTTCTCATGACAGATTCCTTTATTTCCCCCAATCCGAAAATTGTGAATTCTCCCACAGTAGAATTCAAGCACTTTCCAATTATTTTCCAGGTAAGTCTTTCCAGCACCACTCACCACATCAGCTAGTTGGGCACCTAGGCGTTTTTTTACTCAATAAAAAAACCCACCACATGGGAGTCTGGCTGATGCGCGTCCTTGAAACTGGTTGCATTGACTCTCAACCTTATCAACTTGATGTAACATACAAAACAGTTCAGTTTACTGTGCAACAAAAAGCTCATGGACGTGAAAATGAACCTTTGAGCAGATCTGTGCTCTGCATTGTAAAGTGTGCCCAGGTTTGTGGGGGCCTTAAGCTTATCACCAAAATGGCATAAATGAAACGAGCTCAGTATTTGGAGGGGCCACAACAAAGCCGTTATCGATATCACAAAGAAAATGTTTAAGGAAGAGCTGAAAAGGTATGTTTGAGCAAGATGGCTCAAACTTGACTCAGTTACAAGAGTTCAGTCAAGATAAATGGACCAAAATTCCTGCAAACTGTTGTGAGAAACTTGTAGAAAAATATGAAAAGCATTTAGGGCTTAAAAAAATCTCCTAGCTCTGTGTGTAGCAAATATAAATAGTTTTGGTAATCCTAACTGATTTCCAACAGGCAAAGCTCAGTCTGATTTAGTAATGGATAGTGGGGGAGAAATAGTTATGGTTGTATATTATAGTGTATGTAAATATCTGGTCTCTACTGTATTCCCATCTTTTTGCCTGGAAACACTTTCAGATGCACTTTCTAAAAGTGCATTTCCAGAATGAGCTGGGTTTTCCTTCTGCTGCCCGGATTTGGATGGGTGAAGGACAATGTATGGATGGATGGTCATGCAACTACCTGTTAGAATGATGTTGGGGATGTTGCCATGGTTACTGTAGTTAAGTTGCTGCGAGTCCTGCAAGCTGCTGCCGGTGAGGCCCATCATGGCTGCCTGCGTGTAGTTGAGGGTGGAGCATTGGCTGAAAAGGCTGGACGAGCTGATGGGACTTTCAATCATGTTGAACTGCTCAAGCTGAAAAGCATAGATTTGTGAGGCAGAGCAGAGTCAGGACAACATTCTGTCCTCGGTTACTGGTAGTCTTGGTTACCTGGTGAGAAAGTGCATTGGTCTGCCTCGATGCCAGCTGCTGATCATAGAAGGAGTCGCCAAATATACTGCCCACCACAGGAATGTGCTACAGGGGACAGGAAATATGAATTAAAATCAGAAAATAGAATGCAAGTTTCTCTAATAAACACGAAAAAGTTATCCAATGCAATAAAGGCCATACTTCAGTAATGGAGTAACCAAAAAAAAAACTAGCAAGACAACACATCACACAGCTGTTCAGCAGAGCAGGAAATATAAGCAAGTGGTTCTCATAACCAAAGCTAACACCAGCCTATGAAAGAGTGAATGCTGGCTGCTGCAGCCCCGCTAGAAAAGAATCACAATTCAGTTTATAAAAGAGAGGCATTGGTGGTGAGCCTACAACTGTATAATAAACACAAAGACAATAAACCCTGGCAATTTAGGAAGAAAAAAAGAATCAAAAATACAAAAAAGAAGAGATAAAGAGGTCAAATCCAGCATGACAGAGGTCAAATTAGATTTACAGAGGTAAAAAGAAAAACAAAAACATTTAAACTTCCCTTAAATAACTTTAAAAAACAAATGCCTGATAGAGCACATTACCAACAATGTGGGTTTAGCTTTCTTATCTGGTAGAGTCCCTGCTTAAGCATCATCTTTGCCAAAGAGAGCTCAGTCCATGAATGATTAGAATCTGAGCAATTTTGAACTGAACTTTCACTGATTTACCCACAATTAATTTACCTACAATTGTATAGTAAAAAAAAAATACAAAAATGTATCTTTATGCACAGAAAAGAAGATTTAACATTCAGCAACCGAGTTGTTAAAAAAAATCTAGCACTTTCTCCAATAAAATATTTTATTATACAAGGAGCGTCCCAGTGTGAGCCACACTGAGAAAACCGACATGTTGTCATGCACATGGTGAACCGTGACAGTGGAGATGAAGAGATGAGTTATGCAGCTGCTGACACCATGAGTGTTGCAAACACACAGAATGAAAAGCAGCCTGGCTATGAACAGTTAGCTTTCCCCCAGAAGCAAAGCCTTTCCCCAGACAGCAGCGAGCTCGGAGGGTGGGCCCTTACTTGAGGCGAGCCTCCAGGGGAGAAGCCTTGATTGGAGACTGGGGAGGTTGGAGACTGAGTGGCTGGTGAGCCAGTCTGATTGCGATACTGTTGGAGGGAAGAGGGTTAGCTAACACTAAGCTTCATGTCTGGCACAAACACACACATCTTTAGCAATAAGATCAAAACGTGTGCAGTCGCAGGTTAAAGTTTGGCAGTGACATATATGCTATGTTTTGCAAATGTTGCATCTTTATCATGATGGTATATTGTCTAGTGATTTGTTGGATGTTAACATGGTATTAAAATGTGTTACTACTGGGACTGACATCATTGTTTTCTTGTGTTACTCCAGGAGAAAAAGCTTGCACAACATTTTCTGGACCATTGAGAACTTCAAGGTAAGAAATTAAACAGGACAGAACAATTTCATGAGGTTTCAGTGACAGTTTTTCCTGATCAGTTCTACAGAATCAAGTTACCAGTGCAGCGCTTGTTCAATATCAGCAGCAGGTGAGTGAGAGCATATCTGCAAGCACACAAAGACTTTGGGGCAGAAAAGAAAATACTTGTGTCTAAAAAAAGATATCAAGGAGAGAGAGTTAAGTTCTGCAGAAGGTTTAGTGATGGACAGCAGAAGGCTGCGAAAAAGGTACCTTCACTGATTAAATGTCCATCATCCTAGGAAGAGGGCTTACTCACAGCTCTGAAAAAGAACACTTCCATAAATAATGACAGGCTAAAAATAGATTCCAAAAGCTACTTCGACCAACAATGCAGGGACAATTTGGTGCTTTCAAGCACAAGGAAAAAATAGTTGATGGAGGGGGTTAAAAAAATCATATTGGAATTAAAAAAAACTATAGTAGTTCTGTAAAGTTGGCTCCTGGATAAGCAAATGTCATATAAACGTTTTTAGAAGTCATGTTTGTAGTTGTTTTTTCAGTTGACCATAACATGTTGAAACCACAGAATAACATCTGTGTCACTGCCAAAGCCTTTCACTGACTGTACAGTGGACAAAACAACAAGTTTTATCATCAGCCTCCACATAAGACTTGAGAAAATTTAGGTAGGGAATTAATTTTGTCTGTCTCCACAATAGCAGCAAGTCTAAGTAAAAATGATCATGTTATGTTTTTTAAAAATGTATATATTGGGCAAAACCAACAAAGTGGTAACCATGACAATATTAGGAAACATTTTCAGAAAGCTGTGACCCTGCCTTCTTTTCCTAACTGAATTGTGTTTTTTCTTACCGAGCTGATGCTCATGCTGGCGGTGGTTTGGCTGTCCGGGGAGGGGCTGCTTGCAGTGGCTGTCCCGGACGAGGTCAGAGTGGGCAGAGCAATGAGCTGGATGCCCTGTGGCAGCGCCGGCTGTTTCTGGAGGTCACTGAGTAGCTGAGCCTGGGCTTGCGGCGTCAGCTGGTTGAACAGGGGGTACTGGGAAAGCTGCTGCTCCAAAGTTAATGTTTCCGTTTGCAAAGCCTAGAGACAAGAGCACACACACTTACATTACAGTGTTTCACCTTGAACACCAAGAAAAAACCAAGTGAAGCCTGACACCAGACATTCACCTGTGTAATATTAACAGGTGAGGAGAGTGTGGGTGAGAGCTGTTGTGGGGACTGTTGGAGGTGGAGGTCAGAGGTGAGAGTAAGTGGCACCACAGGTGGCTGCCTGCGCTGGCCCGTTACAGTCATGGAAGGCTGAGAAGGAGTGGTGATCCCTGGCAACAGAAGAGTCACACATGCACAAGTCACTGGGTTTTGTTAGAGTAAAGTCAAATTATTAAGCATCCAAACATGAGAATCAGCTAAGAAATCAGACAATTGGCAACGTCTAATGTACTGCTTCTTAAAGCTTGACTTTTATTAAAGGCAACACACATACAGACTATTCTCACCACAAACCACATTTATTCACCCATGTCATGTGTCAAAAACAAGCAAGTGAATGTTGTTGCCAATCAAAGCAAAGAGGATAACGAATATGCAGGAAACAAAATTTAAATTAGAATTTCATGTAAAATTTGAACTCCCTACCAAATTTTAAATGAGAACAAGATGTTGTGTGCAACTGTTGTCTGTCCAAAATACTCATCAGTTCTGAGAGGATGAGATTTTAGGACATAATGAAACAGCCAGCAGCCCACTGGCACAGGCAGCAGACCAAAACAAAGGAGAATCTAAGTCAAATGTTTTCTGCACACAGATAGATACACAACAAAACCTATTCTAAAATCAATAGAATTTAGAATAGAAGTTAGAGATAATTTTTTCTGTTTTTGTAAAAAAAATTTTTGTTATAGTAAAATTATTTTTGATTTAAAAAAACAGGCTAACAAAATGCAGACCAAGATATTGGCTAAAACAACCTACTTTCTCAATTGGGAGTAAAAAAAAAAGTTTTTTCATCTTCCTCCTCCATCCTCCAAGAGTTCTTACCATGACTTGCAGCACTGATGCCCAGGTGGGTGAGGTTAGTGGTCAGGCTGCCCGTGCTGTTGGCTGAGCTGAGCGAGGGGAAGGACACGGTGTCCTCGGGGTCAAGTGGTGTGGACAGCGGAGGAGGGAACTGGATGTTAGTCAGATCCGGCAGCGAACCACCAGTGTTGTGAGCAGCTGGGACCACAGACGGGCTCAATTCCTGGTCTGGTGATGGGAATATACTGGAAAAAGAAAACCAGTTGGTTAGTGACGTGAAGCACAAAAACAGCACCAACAAAAATGTTTTTGGATAACTTGTTTAAATAAAAAAATAAATCTAGAACATTAGAAAAAGTTTTTGTTTTATATGGTCAGTCTACAGCTTCATTACATTTAGCAAAGCGTTGTCCAATTAGAAATCTACTTCCACTTATGTGATGTTGGTCATTATAAGAAAAAATTAAGCATTTTTCCAGACCTCTTATTCAGAGGTTTGGAAAATCAAAATAGTGATCCTCACTTGATTCCTGGGACATCACAGGTATTAGGCTGAGATGCATCATCCTAATAAAAAACAAAACAAAAAAGAGTCATGATTAATTCACCACATGAGTTCACTTTACAATCCCTCACTGTCCCACTGGTACCTTCTTGTCATCCCACAGCTGATTCTGTACATCCTTGTCTGCATCGGACTCTGAATTTTCCGTCCCAGGCACCGTCAGCAGCAGAACTATTAAAACAAAAAAAACATAACACTCTTTTTGTTGAGACAATATCCAAAAATGCAAAGCCTTTCTGAAAGAAATGATCAATATCCCAAGCCGCCATGCAGAAAATAGTACTGCTGTGCACCAGATTCTCACATTTCTAAAAATAGCACGGGTGACCACCAGATGCTGAGGTCAGCTAATCTTGGATTCATTGTATTAGAGCTTTACAAATAAAAAGACATGACCGATAAAGAGTCAGTTCATGATTGATTTTGCTCTGTAGGTTGCCCTGAATCAGCTTCATTCAGAAATTTCTATAGCCAGCAGAGTAAAAAGTCAAACAGAAACACTTCAAAAGTAGATCAGCTTCCATTTGAACCTTAAATATTTTACCATGCATCTACATCTGCCTCTCTCTGACACCAGCTCTTTTGTGTCTTCAGAGGTTTGCAGCTTGGATTAGGACGTTGCTCATGAATAAATGAAAGATTCTCTGTATCTTTGTAACTGGATCCTCCCTCACCTCGTTTAGGCTGCAGTTCCTGAGATCCTCCTGAAAACACTTCCTGGGGCTTCGGGTTCATGGCGCTCTGGTGTAAAGCCGAATCCGAATTCGTCCTGTATGTGACAGAAAGATGAGATGTCAGCAGAATCCCAACACTGGAAGAGGGCCAAATGCTAAGCACCATATCCACCAGGGGTTACAGCCCTCATTACTGAACTTTATTTGCCACCAGGTTGCCCAGGTAGTGGTCCAACCTTGTGAGTAATTTATACACTAAATAAAGGCATAAAAATAACTGTTTCTGACTGGGTAGTTCCAACCTCTAGCAAACGGACAAGCCAAGAAACTTACCTTCTCCAGCTTGTGTCTGGCGGTGGGGAGAGGTAAACTGAACTGTAGGGACAGCTGTCAATGTAAATCTAGTCAAGGCTAATAATTGAGGAAAAATAAAAGAATCAATCAGACACAGGCTTTAGTTCATCCCTTTGTGCCTAAAGCATTATGAATAACTAAACCTAGACAAATCTTATGGGGAGATCAAATCTCTAATCGAAAAATGGAAAACATTTGTCATAATAACTATTAAAGTGCAATATGCCAACATGTATAACTCAACAAAATGATTATCAATGGATGTACAAAAAATCATTAATTTATTGATCTTCAAATCAGCATAAATAGGAAAACATAAAAGAAAAACAGACTTTAAAACACAAAAATGTTACTCAACTATATATACGCTCAGTTACAGAATCAAATGGGTGTTTTACAGCTTTCAGTAGCATATGGAGGATTTCTCCAGAGCAGAGTTCTATGATGCAATTCCCAATGCCAGAAAAAAAAAAACAATTTTCATTGAATTCACTTCAGAAAATAAACTGAAAAAGTTTTAAAAATTAACACTGTACTTCACTGATATTCCAAATGATAAATAAGACAGATTAGGAAGGTGAGACAAAGTAACTTCCAAGTCTGATTGGCACATGTGACGGTGCAATATAAAGGATATTTGGCGACCGTGTTTGTCCACTGAGAGTGGGCGACGGTGAGGAGACGTGATGCGGTTACGATCGCGGTAAACACGGTCCACAAGTCCATGGTGCCTACTTGTCCGACTGGTGTCCAGCACAGAGTTCTAAGGTGGACACACCAGGTAAATGAGATGAGAGGAGTCCTTTCAAACAGAGCACATCTTTGCATTGGAATAAATGGTGCTAAACATGTTCACTTTAAGATGGATCAAGCCAAGTTGGCAAATGTAATTAAAGATGAAAAGCCATGACAAGCAATGGTAAACTTTAAAATTTAGGAACCAATTCTCAATTATGGGGAAGAAAAAAAAACTTTAAGACAAGCTCTTCTTTAACTTTTGAGGTATGGTGAAACCTGGTGGAAGATGCAGCTCTAACCAGCCAATAGTTTTACAGCTGTCGCAGCCAGAGAAAAGCCAGCAGACTATTTTACTCCTCTTTAAAAATGATTAGTCTGTAGAGAAAGTATTTTTCAACAAATCTGAAAGACAGCTGAAACCTATGTGTGTCCAACATTCACCAACAGCTGACAAGAGTACACTGATCCAGAACAAAACCATTGCTGAGAGAGGCTAGGGGCTCACCTGAAAAGGCAGGTCAATGTTGCCATTCCCAATCTGATTGACATTGGGCAGTGAGCCTCCATAGTACTGTCCACGATTCTGCCCTAGTTGCAAATACTGGGTCTTCTGTAACTGCAACTGTGCAAAGTAAAATTGCATGAAAGCATGAGTGAATGACTGATCTGATTCACAAACAAAAGAGATGCTAAAAATGGGCAATGCGTGCAAGTCTACAATGATTATATGCAAGATTAATGAGTTTTTATGAACTGAAAAAAAATGTAACAAGATGAAACAGGCAAATGTGGCTTTTTCATGGACAACTGACAAGCAAACAAAACGAGCTGATTTGAATGACACTGGACTGACAGCTTGAGTTGTCACAGTTGTGTATTCACTACTTGCATATTTCAGTAATAAAAAGTAATGTATGCTGTAACAAAAACAAAACACTGACATCCTGTACACCCAGAAGAATTGAGTCAGATGATCAGACATAATGCAGTGACAGAAAATCTAAATGGCAACACAAGGAATCAGGCAGAGACTATACAACTGAAGAGTGCTTCCCTCCTAGGAAATATCAATATGGCTTAGGGTTAGACACACGCATCATAGTAATAAGTGTCCTTAATTTCCAACAAACAGAAAAAAAATATTTCTCAAACACTTCCTGACTTCCTGACGTCAGTGCAGCTTGAAGAAATGAGTCAATTGATTCATTCAATATATGCTGGTGGAGCTTCCTGGATGATTAACTCTCATCATTTGGGGCTTGGGGCAGAGAAAAACTAACTGGCTGCTGCTCATACTGGATGTCCTCAACACTTACTACCATGGCCCCTGCCTCCCTCTTTTGATTAAAGGGACAGTAAACGTTTTTTTATTTCAATAGATGATCCTTATTTTGAAGAGCTTCACTCCAGAGCAAGGGAGTGGCAGTAAACAAACTCCATCTGATTTATATTTCCTTTCTTTTCAAGGAAGAATTATTTATATTTCTGAAGAAATCTTTTAAGTGAAAGAAGTCCTGGAAAAAAAACTATTCCAATCCAAACAGAACAATCTGAAACAAAACAGTCCTCATATTTAAAATGTAGTAAATGTGAATGTTTGCCACAAAATGCTAAAGGTTTAAAATAGCAAGTAGTTCTGACATGTCTTTACATTCAGCATTGAGCCCCACTGACCCATTTGAAGTGAACTGTTTGTCTGAACAGATCCTTGTGACCTACTAAATGTGAACTTAAATTATTGGAAACCTGACTGAATACACTGCTTATTAATATATAGGCAGCATTTCTTGTGTACAGTTACATGACATTACATAATATAGCACAGTATGACAGCCTTTAAACATGATTTCAAATTAAAAATTTGAAGGTACACTACTCTTTGAAGAAAAATTAAGTCACTTTTTGATCAAGTCTCATTAATAGAAACTTACAAAAAAAATTTAGCCCACAACTGATAAGCAATCACATTTTTATCCACATTGCAGAACAAGAGCAGGAAAAAGATGCAACATTTTGAAGCCTGTAAAAAAAAAAAACAGGTCCAGAATTTTTGCTTAATCTTTCAAGTTCACAAAAGCTCACACATTTTCAGTTAGTTCCTAAAAGGGGAGAAATAGCTATGTAATGCCAGTTGCAAATATAAAACATCAACAAGTAGCTCCCTCTTCTGTTTTTAATTGCATAACTGGTGCAATTTAATCCTGAGTGCATGGTGCATGCATATTGCTTCACAACAGGGAGCACATTTATAGTTTTATGGTTTTCCCAAATAATGCAACTTTTCTTTTGAGTTGTACAACGTAACATCTGTGTTTGCCCAAGGCCAAGTCGCACAAACTCAGTTGGATAAACTTGAATTTAGATCAGCAATTAAGCATGAGGAAGAGCTATAATATTTAAATCAAAGACAAAAAATGGTGGAAATAGTTTTGAATCCAACAGAAAATAAAGAGCTTAAATTTCCTTTAAGCGTCACTGAAAACTTTCTGACCTTTGCAGATAGACAAGTATTTCATAAAACATGTATGCTCAAAATATAATAAAAACAAGAAAAAAAAAACTTTACGGAAAAAAAAAATCTGCATTTGCAGGGATTCTATTACAATAAGACATTTAATAAAGTTAAAAGCAATTTGCACCAAGCCTTTGAGAAAAGAAAAAAACAGGCCTGATAATGAGTTGTAACAAATATATGGATTTCTTTCTCTTCCTTTTCAAAATCTGAGGTAAACAAGTTGTATAGATGTTGCACCACAGCTCTCCCTTATTTTAGTTTTTTTCTTTGTATCATTGTGAGGAGTCTTTCCACCACACACACACACACACACACACACACACCCCCCCCACACACACACACACAAACACACACACACACACACCCCACACACACACACACACACACACTGCATGGGCCCACCATAATTGGGAGACATAATTCAATGTTTCTCAATCCTGCTCCTCCAGGCCCACTGTTCTTCATGTTTTAGATGCCTTTCTGTTCCAGCTCACCTGACTCCAATGATTAGATTACCTCCTCAACATGCTATTAAGCGTTGCAGAAGCCAGTTAATCGGCCATTCATTTGAGCCAGGTGTGAAACACCTAAAACAGTCAGGACAGTGGGCCCTAAAGAGCAGGATTATTTATTATATTATCATTATTATCATTTATTATAAATCATTTCATTGTGATCCATTGCTGACTTTCAACAAATCTGTAAAAACTAGTGCAGTCAAGGGTGTGGCTGGATTAGCCAAAAGCATGTAGAACATTAACTAAAGCTTCTGTTCTACATTGTGTTTTTGTTTGAATTAAAACGTGCCACGGTGGAAACAGTTGACGTGGGGGCGGGAGGGAATCCACGTCCAGTGAGTCTGATTGGCCAGTTAACGCTGCCTTAACCCTGTCAGAGATCCCACTCGCGTTTGCTCCGCTTTAATTTACCTGCCAACAGCCTCAACGTGTTATTATGCGGTGATGTGTGCGCCTGGAAGCAGCCGAAACGCGTGCACTTACCGTTAAAATCATACACAGGGAACAGGTGCACGTTACACTCGAGCTGATAGCGGAGCCAATTAACGGTGCACTAAACCACGCATGTCTTATCGACAAAATAAAAATCTGTAGCGTCCGTCAACAGACAAGGGAGTGTGTTGTGATTGTAATAGACCGATACAGCTAAGAAAGAAAACACGGACCTTACCCAAATAGTGAGCAGTCGCTCAAACATATCACCGCAGTGTTCGTTAACTGCCAAAAACAGCGATGCAACAAACTGGGACCAGCCTGTGAGGGGGTGGGGAGTCTTACCCGAGCGGCTCTGGTGATGTTCAAGTCCTTCATCACTTCTTCAAAAGCGGCAGTCTCCTCCGCCTGCTTTTGATTATGCAAAGCGATTTTTTCGCTAAATTTGCGCGGATTGTTAGAGGACGCCATCTTTCCCTCTTCTTCTCAATGGAATGTTACGCTACGCACGACGCTAGGCCCTCGTACTGTCGTCACGACGCACGGTCGAACGCATCTATTGATGTTCCCCCTCTCTGCTTCAGCTGCCTGCAGTCTGAGAGGCAGGCCGAGTTTGAGATAAAATAAGACTCACCACAGGGGGAATTGTGTGCCCTAGATGTTCGTTATTAATAGTAACATAAAGGGGGGAGAATAAACATGAATATGCACGGAAAGACAATAAAATTTAGACACAGAAAAAGTGACTAGGTGAAAACTTGACTGAAATACAATGAATACATTTGTCACGTTACTAAAGCAGAGTGTGATTCGGGCTTATTAAAATTTTATGTGATACTCATCTAAAGAAGCAAATCGCTGATGAAGAAGAAAAATTACACATAGGTTTAAGAATCTGACATGAAAATGTATTGTCACTTATTTTGATAGCCTTAAGTAAAATCTAAGGCAGCATGCTGTAATTAGAAGGAATCTAATTAGTTTGGAATCCAATCTCAGTGTAACCCAACTGCTGTGTGAAGGCTACAGAGGTTTGTTAATGGGGGTGAGGGTCTTCCATTACATTAGTGAACAAACAGCATCATTAATATGATGGAGTATAGTAGATTGGTCCAGGATAATGGCTAAGTTGATATACTTTGACACAATTGTTGCTGACACTACAAATCTGGCTTGCATAGAACAGTTGGTATGAATACAATTACTGTTAAAAGACATTTAAAAAGCCCCATTTTCAGAGTGCCACAGACCTTTTAGGAAAAATGGAAGCTTAGTGGAAATGTATAACGTCAAATCACCCTGTAAAAAGTGAAAAACATTTGACTATTTCTGTTGTTCCACCACATAAAATCCCAATTAAATACATTCAAACTTGTAGTTGTAACTAGGTATGACATGAAAAGAAATGGATGTAATTTCTTTGCAAAGCACTGCAAATGTTTTATTCACATTTTGCAACAAATTGTAAATTAAGTTCTGGACAACTAAAAGAAATCTAACATAATGAAAAAGAATGTTAACCCTATATTCAAAATGTCATTCACAAATTTCAGATTGGTTTCTCTCTAAAACTGAGGTATAGGTGATCGTTTGTTTTTTAATTCAGAAGTATCAGAGCATATTTATAAAACCAATACAGACACAAAGGTTTACATTTTTAAAACACTATTGAGTTTAATAAAGGATGTACATGAAGCTACACAATCTTGTACATTCCCCCTGGAGTTCATCAGTTTTCACTGTATTGCACTTTGACCATATAATGTGCTTTGATGGGTACAGGCAGAAAAAGACATGCTTAGGCAAGCAGACAGCAGACATTTTTCCACAAAAAAACCTCCTGGCTATACTGGAGGTGGTCAAGTTCAAAAGGAAAAAAACAAAAGGTTTGCTTCTTAAACTAAAAACAAATATATAGGTCATGTACAAACACAATACATCATAAATACAGCTACAAAAGTGCAAAGGATGCAGAAAAATGTAAATTGTAAAAATTAAGTGAACAAGCTTCAAGGACAGAGAAAAAAAAACAATGCATTAAGACACAAAACAATTATTCATGTAGCTGCCGCAAGAGGTCTGCAGTTGTGTGTAATCTTAGGTGAGAAAAAGAAACATCCAAAATAGTTTCATTTCCATTAAACATCAGAAATCAGACAGACATTCACATAAAGAGTAAGATCATGTGGAACACATACAGTAAATCAAACTGTAAATCATCCTGTTCTTATTTTTGTGCCAGCATTATGTGCTGATATGTAGCTTGTGGTTAGGATATATCTACAGTAACTGACTTAAAAGGTACATTGTTTAAAAAATTAAACAGCATAACAAATAAAACTTCTATACAATCAAATTGTCCAACATTTTGAATGCTGATTTTCTAAGGAATGTCATATTTGATGTGCCTTTTGTAATGTAATCCCTTCATTGGTTTTTATCACTTTTACAAATTAAAGTAATATTTTCTTCTGAAAATCTACTATAATTTAGCTAATGCTACACCAGTTAACTTGGCTGTGATAAAACACTTTCTAAATTGCCAAGCATTTAAGAACAGTGTTCCAACATGTTTGAAGATTTCAGACATAGTCTTACCACTATTTAAAATTATGAACTTCAAACATTCTTCATCAATTTATAGCAGGATTCACATACTGTATAAAGAAACAGGATAGAAGGAAGGACTAAAGATAGGACATAAGGAATGCAATGAACGAACAGAAAAGACACAATAAAGGAATGAACAGAACAAAGGGAGGGTGGACAACAAATGTAAGAAAGGAAGAAAAGAGAGGAGGAATAAAAACGACACAAAAAAGGAAGGAAAATGGAGGAAAGACGAAAGGAAGGGAATAATAAATGGCTCAAAGTACAAAAGGAAGAATACAAGGAATGCAAAATGGGAAGTAGACAAGGAGGGAAAGAAGCATGGAAGGAACACACATGTAATGAACAAATGTAGGACACGAGAAATAAAAGGAGAAAAATAATAACAAAGGCAGGCAGAACTAAAAAAAGAAAAGAAAAAAGTCAGACATGACAAGGAAGTAAGGGTGCAAGGAACAAAGAAGGCAAAGAAGCACACACAAAAGAAATGGACGTAAGGGAGGGAGGAAGAGAGAAAGGAGGAAAACATAGACAGAAGTAACACGAAGAAGAAACAAAGGACAGAGGGAAATGCATAAAACATTTGACAAAGGAATAAAAAAAAAGGCTGGAAAGATTTTGTCATCTTTTCCATGGTTAACTAGACCAGGGTAATTACATTCAAGCCTTTTCTGTAGGAACTCTGCAATAATTATGATTGGATTAATACATGTTCAGACCTGCATTTACTCTGATTATTAGCTTATCTAAAACCTAGCCTCTTCAATGAAACCTGATCATCAGTAGTCATAACTATAATTCCTAAAACTTAAAGAAAGTTTCTTAAATATGCTGTAATATATTAAAAAGTTAACAAGTTTACAAGCCTAAAGAACTAAAAAACAAACCATCAATATGTAAACAAGATGTTCACACCTTCATTTAATCCACTGGGCAGTAGAAGATGACACAGAACAATAGTCTTCACAGTTGCAGGTCAGGAGCTCAGCGTTGTGTGGTGTTCTGAGGAAGTATAATCGGCGTACTTGCAATGCCAGCAAATGATTCTGGAAAGTGCAGATCCCTTTCCCACTCATCCGTCTCTGTGTTGTAGACTTGAACGATGCTTGTGACATTGTTCAGGTGCCAGTTATATCCCCCTATGATGTAGATCTTAGCATCCAGAAGGCAGCAGCCCGCCTCGGACTGCCCTGTTCTCATGGGACTAACGGTCGTCCACTGGTCACTTTCTGGACTGTAATACTCAACCGCCAGCACATCGAAACAGCGGTCCACATGATCCATGCGGCCACCCAGAGCGTAAACACGTTGTTTGGTGCTGATCATGGCGTGCAGCACTCTGGGTTCATTCATGGGGGCTTTGAAGTCCCACTGGTCTGCTACTGGATCATAGCAGTGGAGAGTTTTCTTGTCGTCCAACGAGACGCCATAACCTCCTGAAATGTACAACCTTTCTCTGCACGAAGTCCCAGCATGGCCCCAAATTCTTCGTTTCAATGGTTCCACATAAGACCACTCGTTCTTTTTTGGGCAATAACACTCCACAGAAGACAAACTCCCGGATCGATTACGGCCTCCAGTTGCGTACAGTTGTCCCTGCAGGACATTGAGTTGAAACTGGATGCGAGCCTCCTGCATGGATTGGATGCGTAGCCACTGGTTAAGATGCGGGTCGTAGCGGAAACAGTTGTCCATGGCCCCTTCCCCACTGCGGTACTGTAAGTGCTGCCCACCGACAATGTACACAAAGTTATCAAGCACTGCAACGCAGGAATGGCTGCACCCTGTCTCCATTTCGGTCAGCTCTTTGAACTGACGGGAAGCAGCATCAGGAAGGTAGTAAGACTTGGTGCTCACTGTGCGGTCGTTGTCGGTATAGGGGGTCCCACCAAAGGTGATGAGGGACAACACATCAGAGCGGATGAGCGTCCGTGAGGATTGCATTTCATGCTGTCGGAAGGGAAGGATCTGGTAATTGAAGGCCTCGAGGAGATATTGGCGGCACAGCACATCCTCCACCATGATGTCCACTGTCTGAACGCTATCTACCAACTCTGAGGAGCGCATGAGTGGAAAACGCACGTGGCAGAGGACGCTACTCGCCTGAGCCCGGCGGGACTCATCATGCTGGAGCCATCTTGTAGCAGCGTGAAAGAGGTCGATCTCTTTGCAGTTCTTCAGCTTGTTGCTCTGTAGGAAGAAGGTGAGGCGCTCCATAGGAATGTGCAGAAAGTCCTCTTCTTCAGCGATCTGGAGGAAGTGACGAAAGGTGAAGGCATCCACGGACTCTTTAAGGGAAGACAAGCTGAAAGTGGTGGCCATCTGCCCAATGTGGAGGCAGGTCTCGACGCTCATTGCAGACTTAAGGAATTCCTCACAAAGCTCCACTACGGGAGCCATTTGGAGAAACACTGCAGCCCCCAGAACATCCTGAATACAGTCCAGGTCTAAAGTTACATCTGAACTGTAGGCAAAGTCGATGATATGTTTAAGTCCTCGGGCTGACAAACCCTTCAGCTCAATGGTGTCTTGGTTTGATTCCCTCATGCCTCCTGTAAACATAGCTCTGAAATCAAAAAGAGCACAATAAATCATGTTATGTGCTTTTGTTTGAAACAGTTGCTTGAGATCCTTCTGATTCTAGTTTAAACAGCCAATGAATAAAAAGTAGGATCAAGGTTATCTTTTGGCTTAATTGCCTATTGAGCCTTACAAATGTATTCATACCGTTTGAACAACCACAAATTAGGTAAAATGCATATGGAAGAGTTGCAGAGATCTACAGATCAGGTGTAAAAATGCAATGACAGAAACTATATAAATATGCTAATTATGGACGACAACAAAAGCCATTATATCAAAACAAAGCCCAGTTTACTGAACGCCATGTAGGAATTATAGCAAACATGAAGAATGTGAAGTCAAAGTTTTGGCCTACATTAAAAACTGTGTATGGACATCCACAAACACACCACACTACAGTAAAAAAAATAGTATAGGCACTATTCTGTAGAAAGGCTATGTCTTCAGCAAGAGAAGACATAGAAAGGATATGTCTTCAGCAAGAGAAGACATATCCTTTCTACAGACTTGATGGAAAAATGGATGTAACTAGCAACAAGACAAGGGGAAGAAACCCTGAGAAAGGCTGCAAAAGACTTGTGACTGGGACAGAGGTTCAGCTTACAGCTTAACAATAACCATAAAAAAAACATTCAAAATAGTTGAAGAGGTAGAAATATTTTTGTAAGGCACTGTAGGCTTTCCTATTGAACATTTTTATCCACCATTAACATTCACTCAATAACTTCGGATAATATATTGAAAACAACACTAGTTTACAAGTCATTATTCCCACCCTATTTTTTGTAAGCATCAACTAAGTGCTTTCGATTGAAAATCCGAATGAACTTGGTGAAATCTCCAGACTAACCTGAAGTAATCACTACAGGCGGCCAGCACTGCTTTATGGACCTGGAAGTGCTCTTCATTGACAGCCAGCACGACATCCAGGAGCTGACCCTGAGTCCGCAAAACCGACAAGCCCCGGAGGAGAGTGGCACTGTGGCTCTTGGCGGAGAAAGTACAGCGCAGGGTACTATTCTTGTTAGCCATACTGGAAAGAGAAATACGCCTTGTAACCATCAATAAGCTAGAATGCAATTCCCCCCCTTTTCAAATGCAAATGTAATATATTCCTAACATAAATCTAAGCTGAATTGTTACATCTAGAAGCTCTTATCTGCTGATGAAAACAGGCCAGTGTGTGGAACTGTAGTACCCAGTAGCATTCTAATGGAAACATAATGTAATTTGCTAGTCAGGCAGAGGGGAATGCATTTAGCGTAGAGCTTTTGAATGAGTGAGAATGCATGTATGAAGACAAAGGTACTAAAGAGAAAGCTATTTATCTTTTCAGGAACTTTAAATCCTCACGTGCTGAAAAGGAATTAGTACGAAAACATAACAATTAGAGCATAAGGAAATATTGCTCCATCAGTTGTTTGTAAAAACAACATCTAACATTACAAAAACAGCATCTGAGAACTTTTTTCAGCATCACCTCAGATAGAATAAAAATATAAAAATGCATCCATTACACATGAGGCCTGAGGAAAATATATATGTGTGCAAACATTTACACAAAGTCTCCCTCATTGTATAAATCCAAAAAGAAATTTCTTTTTTTTTTCTGAGTGGATATATCAAAAATTTAGAAAAAACGGAAAAGCATGACATTGGATGCAATAATAACATTAAACCCTGGAAAAAATTAAGGTTCAATATTTATATATTCAATCATCTTAAGTTAGAGTGAACCACAAAAACCTACTCCTTTCCCTTCGTTTTCTACATTCTTATCTTTTACAGTTTACATTTACACACTGCTTCATTTGAATATTTGATGTTTTGGTAACATGTAAAATTCCATTTATACTTTATTTAAGTTAAAAGACAACTTGTAAATACTGCAAAAAGACTTTTAAATAGCACTTACTATAAAGTGAGTTTTAATTTTATTGTATCAGAAATATACTATGATTAGCCTCTATTGGATATAGACTATCCACTAAGAAAGTCTCATTTATTTATTAAAAATAAGGCATTTGCCTTTTTAATTCTATCTGAAATCTCAAATTTCTTGTGGTATTGTGGTTACTAAAGAAAAGTTATTAATGCAACTTAAAAAATGTTAACTGAATTGTGTAAGGCATTATTAATGTAAACGTAATTAAACCTGCTGAAGACATGTTATAGTATCCTCAGATAAAGCTACATGAGCCCCAGAGTCTGGAGGCCGAATCAGAGCCTCGGTGTTTCCTGACCCGAAGAAGCCGTGCCGCGAGTCGCTTCGGAGTACAGTCGGTTCAATGGCTGTGGGGAGACACCGTGGTACCAGATAAACACCGCCAACGTACAACACCATCAACTGCAGCTCACTCACCTGTTCTCCGACTGTTTCGGAGTGAAATCGCCACCGTCCGACTCCGCCATCTTCTAGCACATACCAACATGCATAGAGCATTTTTAGGAATGTTATCAGGAAGTCATCGGCACGAATGGATGATTCATTATTGTTTTTGTTTATTTCGTGCGAAGAGCCGTTGGCGACTTCTGACAGACGTACAATAATTGTCTGTTTGAGGTCCTGCTGTGCAAACAGAAGTGACCCGTCCCCTTTGGTGGCTGTTTGAAACACGAATCTTCTCTGTATCGCCGTTATCTGACCACGAGAGGTCGACAGAGTAACGTGCTTCTTCTCCCCAACATGAAAACCCTGGCAACACATGAGATCTCTGCTCTTGATGAAAACACAGTTTTATTATGTTCAATAAAGAAATGACTTGATTCAGTAACGGACAACTCTGTATTTGTGAAGTATCTTTTTTTCAGATCAAATTGGGTAAAAATATTTTCACAAAATATGAAACTACTGTGTTGATCTAAATTTGCAATGATCAGTGGATGAATGCTCTTCTGATTGATGCTATGAAAACTACTCTCAAAAAGTTTCAGTATTTGTGTTTTAAGTTAAATTTATTGAAAACATAAAGAGTTACTCATCACAGAAAAGCAGTCATCAGTCTAGGATGTGGCCAAAGGGTATCCACTCAGTGACTCTTCCAGTTTCTGTATCTCAGTTGCAACTTACTGAGATACAGTAAGTTACAACTGTATGTCAGCTGTGAATTGTGATCATAGCTCAGGTGTTGTTTTGATCTTGTGATATCAAAATGTATCTCAAAAGCTCAAATAATACCTGAGCTATAATCACAATTCCCAGAGAATTTGAAAAAGGAGGCTTGATGGATGCAGAGCAGAGAGGAGCAGGAAGTTAAAACCATCCTGTCCATCGATCATAATGGGCGAGAAATATCCTCAACTAGAATGTCTCTGCTCCAGACTTTAATCATACCACAAAAGAGAGATTTCAAAAGTGAGGTGCTTGCCAATAATTGAGGGTGTATTCCAGGACCTGTGAAACATTGTCTCTGCAGCCTGAAAATCAAGCTGTTAGTATATTATGACAGTCATGATATTGTGATGCAGCAGTAAGAGGCCTTTGCAGATGAAATTTGCAGAAGTGTGCATGAAATGTGTAATTTTGCATACTTTATGTGCAATGAAGCAGGAGCACAATGGGGGTACAAAACAGAACTGAAACATACAATGTAAAATTCACTGAAACTTCACAGTTTATAAAAAAAACCCAAAACATTAATTTAACTGGAAACAAAAGGAATGAGGCTTTACTTGAATGTTTACTGCTGTGCTCATACAGAAAAAACACTATGCTACCGTAATGACCACAGATTGTGCAAAAGATACATGGCGTCCCGCCTGTGGTCAAAACTGGGAAGTCTTTATCTCGATGCGGTGAAAGATAAACACTGTTAATTTCAGGTTACAGAAGATGCCCTCTGCTGGTTTTGGTCTTTCAAGCTAAGCAATACACTGACTCAAGCTTCTTTTCAAATTCATGTACAATGCGGTGGAAAATACAAGTAGGTCAGCTCTTTTGTTGTGTGTGCAAATAAACAGGACATATTCTAGTCTGAATAAGACAGATCAAAAGCTTTTGTGTCTCTTGTAATGAGTAGTTTGTCCTTGTTTGCTTATTTTTTGAAGGTCAATAATTTTCTTTTGTTGTGACCACTTCCTGTCATGTAGCCTCCTCAAAAAATGCTGGAGGTTTACTTTTGAGTTTTTGAGCCATCATGTGCATTTGTTTTAAATTGCTATGTGCATTTTTTTTTTTTACAATAACGAATAACGAGCCAGACTATCGGACCATCAGAGTAGAAATTAAGTAAAACTTGACAGATACTTAAAATACAGTGTGATTTTAATAGAGATGAAGACTTTATAAGTATATCTTAGAGTTGGTGCAAAGATGCCCCTCACGGCTGCAATAATTGTAATAATTACTATATCATGTACAGAAATAAAATTCTCAGATTTGGAAAAGAAAAACTACATACACATTTGACAATAACAATGGAAGAGAGAAGAAAACAAAGATATTCACTACTTGAATTTTAATAGGCAGTAAAAGAAAAATACAATGAAGATATTAAAATGCTACAAACCACTTGAGGATTTTCTTGAAAAATGTGAAAATATTAATGTGCAAATGTGAAGAGGTAGTGAATTATTCTGCTTTCTGATGTAGTACTGGAACCTTATTGAATTCATGTTGAATTAGACATCAGTAACGTTCAGAAAATACACACAAAGTAAACAAAAAAGAAATAGAAAAGTAAATTTAAAAAATTCACATTTATATTTCATTTTATTTACAGGGATAAACATTTATCAGCAACTCAGTCCAATGCTTGTACAGTCTTGTGCTGTTGAGGCAGATAAGCAGTTAAAGTGACTCAAAGTGATCCTGACTTTACATCAAACACCAAACCATTCCTGTATATCAGCATGGCCAGCTCTGTTTCCACCTGTTCCAGGTCCTTTAAGTCCACTTTTCTCAAAGTGTCATCTGCTGAGGCAAGACTCGAGCTCTCATCATCAGATTCTCCTGAGCAGCACCCGTCTTTCTCCACCTGCCGTCCTGCCTCCACATCACATTCGCTCTTCAGGACTGTGGCCTCTGAAACGGGCTTCTGCTCTGGAACGAGCTTGTGTAGCGTGACCTCATGCACTTCCTCTTTTCTCTCCCACATCTCCTGTTATTGGGTCACGTCAGCGGAGAACAGAGTCAGTATTCTGGGGCACAGGAACAACTACAAAGTCTGAAGTTAAGTAGCTTCTCAGTAACAATCATTGGCATCAAAGATGAAAGTAATACCAGTAAATTACTCTCAGTAATTTTCATACAGAACTTTTTATCTTTATTTTTTTGGTTCTGGATGTTTTTAACAAGTTTTAAATGCCAGTCGTGGGATGTGACACACATTTCAAAATTACTGGCTCTTGTTTTGGCTATTTATTGTACTTTCATGTAAGGAAATGTGAATGTAATGGGCTGTAAGAACCTTTGACTTTTTGGATTGAAAATTTACATTTTATTAAAATAATTTGAAATTTGCATGTATCTGCACTATATCTTTTTTGACTTCATTCTTTTCTAAATACTTCATACAGTTTTATGATGTAACATAATTAATAACTTTTCTATATGAATAAATAGAAGTATGCTATATTCCCTTGTTTAACTCTATTTGTTTACCCCCTGCTCTGATGTATTTATGACAAAGTTAATTTTTTTGATCCTTAAATAAAAACATGCTTCTGCTTTGCGGGGAAATAAAATGTTAGTAGTTCTTTCACATCATCTTTCTATATGCTTGATAGGGACTTTCCTTCTTGAAACCAATGTGCCCAAATTAATGCATTTTTAAAACACACTAAAGGTATATTTTAAAAGAGACTAGATGCAGAAATGGTGAAATTTGAGGCAAACAAAGTTTTATATTATATAAAAATGTTGTTAGAAAAATCAGTGGAGACACAGCTTCTTACCTCGCTCTTTGGTGGACGAAGCCTGAAGTCTGGCATTACCGGTTTTGGCACAGGAGGGAACACCTTATTTTTGATTCTAAAACATTAAGACAGAATAGAAAATGTTTACACAACAGCAACTTGTGAAGCCTTGTTTTTTAGAAAGCCAGCTGTGAAATAGGACACATGATTAGAATCCAGTATAAACAAAAAAAGAACTCATGAATTCTATCTTATGATCACGTTTTATGTGAGCTTTGTGGAAAATACAGCTAGATTGCAAAAAGACATTGAATTGGGGAGGGGAAGATTAAATAAACAATATGACAGCATATGACAAAGCAATGTAAATAATCCATAACTGTAAATAGTGCATGACAATATATGGCAACCTTTAAAACAATTACAAACTTGTTACATTATTTTACAACACAAAACTCAGCTTAGTTGAACTTTTTAACATTTTTGTCACCATACAATATTTACTATTTCTTTTTTATTGTTTGCCTATTTCTGAAGAACTTTGACATTGACATTTGATATAAATATGTTTGTCTCACAAACCTTTTCAACACAACGGTGCAAAATATCGAGAAGAGGAAAAACCCAAGCAACAATCCAAAACTTATCCACACTAAGGACAAGGAGAAAATAGCAGATTAAAAAGGAGAAGGTAAGACATTCACAACTTGAAAATTCACTGTTGTGATTTTAAAGTATGCACAGCTATACAAAAGCCTTTTTTTTTTTGTTGACACAGTAGTTGAATTTGCAGGCTTGATACCATTGAAAGGCTTCTCTCGCAGTGTGGTAAAACTCTGCATGGCTATCGGCCCTTCTCCTGTTTGTGTCACTCCAGCCACGGTGACGTTGTATTTGGTTGCCGATGTTAAATCTTTCAGGTGGTATTTTGTTGTCGATGCGGATATGTTGATGCACTCTGTTCAAATGAGACAAAACACAAGCAAATATATTTTCTTTCTAACTACAAATTAACAGAAACCATCAGAGAAAAGACAGTATTTCAAACCTGGAGGCTTGCTCTGTGAATTTATTTTTACAGTACATAATTTGTAGTGTGTGAGGAAGCCATGGAGGTGTTCATATGAAATTTGTTTCCAGGTTAGATCAGCAGAGTCGTGTGTGTCAGAAACAGTCATGAAGTTCTGTGGCTCTTTGCTTGGCACTGAAACAACAAAAACAACAACAACTTGTATATCTATTATTTGTCCTTTCAACTTTGATACTGCATCAAGGGATAAAACTTTGTAATATCTCATTGTAATAGTAACAAAATATGGAAATATGTAATTTGTTATATAACATTTCTACTGACTCTGCAAAAACAAAGGCATAAATGGAAACAATTATAGCAAAAATGTACAAAATAATCCCGTGATTTAAATTTGCACAAATTTTTTCATGCAAAAATCATAACTAAGGTTTTACAGATGTACAAAACCCAAACTGAATATTCCCCAAATGATTATTAAACACTAAAGCCAGTGAGAAAAGGGACACCCTATTTTCAGTATAACTGATAAATTGTCAGGCTGTTTCTGCCTCCTGTACTGCACATGCTTAAACGTCATCAATGACTCCCATTGAAGAACTTGATGGCGAGGTTACTGAAGAAATCCAGAGTCAGAACTACTTGACAGCCAGATTGTACTGGTCAAGACTGACCCACTTGATTATAATTTGATGGTGAAATAGCTCTTGTTAGT